ATTTGCCCTGCAGAAGCTCTGCAACTTTATGCAGTCCCATTTGTCCAACCTTTCTTTGATTTGTTGTGTTTCCGGGTCTCTAGTCAAAAAATTTCGGCCTGAGCCAAGGAGACCTAGGGTTTCTCCTATTCCATGCTGTAATACTACAGTAGTATTTTATGTTTGGGGTGAATGTTAGATACTGTATTTTTGATATGCATAAGACTTATTAGGGAAATAGGTATAAATCTGCCTGAGTTTCTGGACTGATCACTTGCCCTGATTGATAGGCCATTTGGGTTTTTCTCCTCAGGAGAGAAGAAGAATATATTCTATCTGCAAAAAGGAAAGAAAATAATATTTTTGGTGATTTGAAGGGCATGGTAGACATGTTTTACCAACAGTGTCTGTCTTTCTACTTGGTGGGCACATGAAAGCACTGTTCTTGGTAGAGTGAGGTCATGTGACATGTTTGGGTCAATGAATTGTTGAAGTGGGGCATTTAATTGTCAATGCAAGATCTTCTAGGGCCCTGACAGGAGATCCAGAATGATGCAGATAGTGCTGCTTCATCTGCACAATCCAAAATGAGGGCAAAGGAATACATGTTCATGAGCATTTTTTTTTTAACCATGAGGTCTAGTGTAACATAGTATATTCTGTATAGACTGTTTATTCTATACTGCATAGTTTAAAATTGAAGATTGATGCATCCTATGTAAGAAAGCATCCTGGAGATTAAAGTCTTGGAGCCTAGCCAGCTAGGATCTATTTTTACCCCTACCACCTGCTAGATATAGGATCTCAGATTTCCTATCTTTTCAAACCTCATATTTCTCATTTATGAAGTGAAGATAATAACTATATTTATTCCCCAAAGCTGCCAAAAATTGCTTCAAACTTTATGGCTAAGACAACAGGAATTTATTCTCCAATATATTTTTTGAGGACAAGAAAGCTATATCAGTTCACTGAACAGGAATTAAGATGCTAGCAGGCTGGGCTCCCTCTGGAGGTTCTGAAGAGAATCTATCCTTGCCTCTTTCTGTTTCTGGTAGCTGCCAGCATTCCTTAGCTTGTGGCCATATCATTTCAGTCTCCACATCATCTTCTCACATCGTCTTCTCCTCTTCTGAAATGTTTGATCTCTCTTACAAGGATACTGTGATTGAATTTAGGGCCCACTTGGATAAACCAAACTCATCTCCCAAATCAGATACTTTCTTAAATCACATTGGCAAAAATGCCCTTTCCTTCTCAATAATGGCTACAGGTTTCAGACTAGGACCTGGTTCCTCTTGTGTCTATTATTATGCCTACTATGGCAACTATATTTGAAGGCATTTTATGGATTAAATGAGATAATGTGCCTCAAACAGCTATATGTTGGTGCATGAATATATGTTATTCCCGAAAATGTCAAGTGTTAAGATATCAAGTGACTGTTTTGGACCCCAAAGTTCACATATTAGGTATCCCATAAAGCTTAAATAATTAGCCAGCAGTCCTAGCACTAGAGAGACTGCGGTGGGAGGATTGTTTGAGACTGGGAGTTGGGCAATCTAGCATGATCTTTCATCAGAACAATAAAATAAAATTTAAAAAAGGAGAGAAAACTGAAAGAGCTATTAACTTTTATCAGTAATTAAAGACTTTGAATTGGGTAATTACCAGATTGAAAACTATTGTTGCCATGAAACCAGAATTTGGTGGTGGTGAAAACAGAGAAATGTAAACACATGGCTGTTGTGATACAAATTAAATTGGGTGTTGCACATGGTGGTCATAAAAGGCCTCTGATATCTGAATAGTATTAGGAAAGAAAAATACAATTTCCTTTTTAGCCTCTTTTATTTTTCTCTCCAAATGTGAAAAATAGGGACCCTGTACCAAGACATGATTACTTATTCAAAAACCCTATTTTAGAAATGCTTGCCTTAAGAAATCGTGAAAGTGTTGTTCAGATTTAGCACATTACAAAAATCTTGTAGGCAGAAATAGTATCGCTCAGTGAAGAAAAGACTGAGCTTAAACCCTATTGTGACTAAGCCTGCTGCTGTTTCTTTTTTTAATACCATGTTAATGTGGATGCAAATCCACTAGGGTTTCAGTGTCTCACTTAGCCTCCCCCTACTCCCCCCCCCCCATTCCCTCCTCTGCCGAGCCCTGCCATTAATCACCACTTGCCTGTCTGGAGATCTCCCACGGTTTGGTCACGGCTCCAAGGTCACAAGCTGTCATTAACATTGATCTGAAAAACAGAACCGAACAAAACAGCCTGAGTGATCTTTTGTAGCATTCCTAAACAAACCCGTCCTAGATAGATAAATAAATAAAATGAAAACAAGGCCAGCTCACGTCTTCTTTCCCTCAACAAGGGGCAGCACTGTTTATAGTCCCTGTGTTTGGAATCTCTAGCATGCCACCACACTGCTGAGAAGACAAAGCGCTCACACATCCCCTGGTGGCCCTTTTTGTTTGGTCTGCAGCAAACCAAGGAAAGCAAAACACTCCTTTTTCTACACCTGAGCCAGGCAAGCTCTGTTTAAAATAATTTATAATGCACAATGTTGCTGTTTTGTTTTTTGTTAACTATAAGCCAGGGAATCAATATATAACACTATGCACATGTCCAATGAATCTTTTGCTGACTTCTCATTGATTGATGGTAACAGAAGAATATCCACACCAAAGAGGTGAGACACACGACATATAAGATGCAGGGTGCTCCTTCATTTTCATGGGCTCCATAGAGCTGAGATTTATGGGAGCCATACCATGTCATTCTAGTTTACTACCTGGATCCTACATGTTTTATGAGCATTATGAAGAAGAAACACCTTCAGCTATAGCTTTCATTAGACTGAGCATGTAAGAAAACACAGAAATGATTTGAATAAGGTCTTTGAGAGGCAGACTTACTAGAATTTTACATCAAATGATGGAAACACAGGAATGATGAAAACAACTGAAATGGTAGGTGGATTATAATTTGATGTAATGGGAAGGGGAAAAACAAGACACACAGTCTTTGTCCCAAACCTGCTTTCTGTATGTTAAAACTAACAGTAGGTGATGAAAGGGATATAGGATTTGAGCGGGGAGATCTCATCTTGGCTGACTGCTTTTGGAAGAAAGGGTGTGTTGTTAAAGGCTGTCCTGCAGTTGGGTCTTAACATTTTCTATGCCAGATCCCAGTGCCTTTGAATCATGTCTGCGGCCCAGATGGCAAAGCAGGCTCCACTGAAGGGAGGTTTGTATAATTTCACCAGGAAATCTCTCCAGGGAGCAAGACTGCTCAGCAAATAATAGGTTATTCAAGGCACAATCAGACTGCATCAGCATCAGCAGCCTGCTCAGATTGGAGCAGCACTTAGAAAGCAGCCAACTCCAAACAGCCCAGTGTTAAGCATTATGCAAAAGGAAACACATGGGTCTACTCTTCATTTTTGATCCTTTGTATTATAAGCATTTCCATAGTACATACCATATGCCTCTCTCTGTACTAAGTATTTATCTAACAAACTACTAGTAAGTGAATCCTTACTACTCACAGTAGTGAGCATTATTGTTCCTCTTTACAAATAAGTAAATAGAAGCACAGAGAGATTAGCTTTTCAGAGGTGAATAAAGAATTTACTATCCTGTGTTTATTACAAAGCTACTGGAACCCATCTCATTATATTCTTATACTTTTCTTTTTCTGTTCTGTTGGAATGAAAACGTGGGTTAACATGTGGGCAGTGCCTCCTGAACAGAAAATAACTACTGCAAAGTTGCCTACTGGGATTATAATTTGTATAATTACTCAGGTTCTGTTCAATTGATCATTTAAAACTTATCATATTATTATTACCTTAACCAACTGATCAACAAGTTTCTTGCATAGCTGTTAGGTGCTCAGATGATGATGATTTTAATAGCATTTATTGAATAGTCACTTCAGGGTGATTGACAGTTTTTCTTTGAGATAAGGGTTCTAGTATTATTTCCATTTTTACCTACCAAAAATTGTGGCTCTGAATAATTAGGTAGCTTGTCCAAGGTTAAAATTGCTAGATGTGTCAAAGTTAGGGCTGGAATTCACAACGTCTTACAGAAGATTCCTTACACCAACGAATGCCCTAATAGTAAAGGAGCAGGAAGTCTATGCAGAAAATGATAGAAAAGGCTGGATGTAGGATAGGTTAATTGACCAAAGCCTTTACCCAATTAGCACCAAACAGAGAGATCAATCAAAGTTGAAGATTTAAGAAGGATTTAGCCAGGCCATGGTGGCTCACGCCTGTAATCCTAGCTATTCAGGAGGCTGAGATCTGAGGATTGCGGTTCAAAGCCAGCCTGGACAGAAAAGTCTGTGTGAGACTATAATCTCTAATAAATTACTCAGAAAAAGCTGAAAGCGGTACTGTGGCTCACATGGTAGGGCATGAACTTTGAGTACACAAAGGCAAGCCCTGAGTCCAAGTCCTGAGTTCAAGCCCAAAGACTGGCAAAAAAAAAAATGATCTAGTTAGACATTTAGGGAGTAGATGTGAAGATCATTTGAAGAAGGAGTGGAAGGAGAGAGAACAAGTGTATGCATAAATTGACAAGAGCCTAAAAGAAGGATTGACAGGGAGAGCTGAAATGCAAGGGCAAGGACAGATAGTTACAAAGGAAATACTAAAGGAGAAGAAGGCACAGTTATCATTATTATTATTTTAAAAATCAAGTTTCTGCAAGAATTTATATTTCTAGAGTAAGAGAACAGAGAGGAAGCTTGTATCAACTGTTCAAGTTCAGTCTGATTTATAATTAAGTGAATCACCTTGGTCAAATTGAATGCATGGCCTGAAAGAAGGGCATCAAATTTCTGTCCTAAGTAGCAGGAAAAGAATGGCTGTGTATCTAGCATATCTAATACTGGCAGCAGAACATTTTAAGTATTGTTATCTATTTGATTAGTTCTGTAATTTTAAAACAATTAATAATTTACACAAGAGGTCCTAGATTAAAACCCGAGAACCACCAAAAATAATTAAAAGAAACAATTTTTATTTTAATACTACATTCAAGTTTAGTAAATAATTGTATGTATGAGCTGAAGTTTCTCTGTACCCAACAATGTTGGGTAAAGAGAGCAACCTGTTTCATTGTTTAACATGTTAAAGACAAAAACCACATATAGTCACATAGAATGCCAGGATGGAAGGAACTCAAGTTATGTGTCTGTATAGTGCTATCTTTGTTCATTTCACATGCACTGTGGAAAACAGGATTTTGTACAGCTAGAGGTATAAAATTCATTGTGAGTGAGTTGGTGTAACTCCAGATATAGTTTACTCTGGAACGTGAGGAGCTAAGTCCACTTGTTTGAGGGACTGACTATAAAACCAGGCATTTTTGGATTTTGCTTACATTATAACACATATACAATGAGAGGGTAAGAAAGAATTGCTAATTTCCTGTCAATTATTTTTGTGTTCAGCAGTAAAAAAACAAAAACAAAACTGGTTAGAATTTATCTCAACCAAGGATTTTCTTCAGGGAGAAATAGTACGTCACTGACATTATTCAAACCTTAGGGCATATGGCAATGCAAACTGGCTTTTAGTTGGTTTTATTACTATTTAAAATTTCTCTGCAGATATTGTTTCAGCAGCGCCTACCTTCGGGGCATCTCAGTCAAACCAAGCAATGCAACAGGAAAGGCAGACACCTGTCTTTTATATACTGTGCTTTCAAATAAGACAATTTTTCCTGGTGGGCTTCCCTGGAAAAAAAAATTGAAATTTTCTGCAGAAAAATATCTAGCTGGAAGCTGGGGACAGGTGATTCACGCCTATCATCCTGACTATTCAGGAAGTTAAGATCTGAGGATTATAGTTGAAAGCCACCCTAGGCAGGAAAGTCCTTGAGACTCTTATCTCCAAAAAAGCCAGAAGTGGAGCTGTGGGGAGAATTCCAAGGCCTGCAGTTAAATGGAAAAAGCAAGTTCAGTTTGGTATGCAAATATGCAGTTTATGTTAAAATAACATGGCATAAATATCCAAATATGTAATACACACACTTGAAAATGGAACAGTGAAGCTTGTTGAGATTGGTTTGGGAAGAGGAAGAGGACTGAGGTAGAGTGCTAGAAGGGCTAAGTCAGTTATGCAAATGTAGACATGTCAAAATGAAACCCCCTTGTATAATTGATGCTATTTCTTTAATGTAGGAAAATGATGGTGGGTGTTGGTGTTTCACATTTGTAATCCTAGTTACTTAAGAGGCTGCAAACTGGGGATCAGTTTCAAAATCAGTCTGGGCAAAAAATGTCCTTGAGATTTTTATCTCCAATTAGCCAGCAAAATGTCAGTATGTGAAAAAGCTGAACCAAAGCACATGGCCCTGAGTTCAAAATTCAAGCTTTAGTAATAACAAAACAAATAAGAAAATTGGGAAAAAGCAAAAATGGTCACAGGGTACACAGGTGTGTAATACGGTGGGAATGTCCAGGAAAGACAAACCAAGCTGAAAATGGAAGGATAGCTATGCAATCAGTATAGGCATTGGGTTGGAGCTCAAAGGAGACTGGGCATACATTTGTAATAATTTCATTCATTACAGAGAGATAGATTCATATATTGCATAGTAATTTCACAGTAATTACATAGTCATTCATAGTATTTCACGCATGCATATTCATATAATGTGTATATAATTATTCATGGAATACAGAAATTACATGAAAAGAAGTCTTCTTGCAAGAAGTTGAGTGGACAAGTGAAATGTCAGAGTGATGGAAAGGGGGAAAGAGAAAACTAAGATGGGACTTTGAGAAAGTCTGGCCTCTAATTCACTATGTGACTTCAGGTGGCCTTGCACTCATGATCCTAATGCCTCCACCTCCCAAATGCTGGGAATACAGCATATAGCAACAAGCCTTCCTTATTGAGGAGCTGCAAGCACATTTTTAGGTCTAGAAAGGCCATCAGCATCAAAACAAGATTTTGAAAATGGAAGCCAAGATCAGTCATAGGTACTGGCTTGAAGGAGGGTATGGGGGGAAGACAATAAAACTAGGATGAGTAGAGGTGTCATTTTGAAGAGAGGAGAGTGCTTTCACTCTGAGAAGAATGAAGAAAGGTCTCTAAAGGTAACCAAGAAGTATTCAGAGTGGAGAGGGATGAGATTAAACCCTCTGTGACCTCAAGAGACTTCCAAGTGAGGTTGGCTCCAGAGGGAAGGAGGCAGGAAATATCCTGAACTGGAGGTAAGGAGTTGATAAATAGCAGATATATAGCTAAGATAGGAATCACACTTAGGGTAACTCATGGTTGCCTGGTTGTGAGCCCGAACCAGGACCTCATACGCTTCCCAATAAAACCTAGTAGTGTGAGAACAGGAAGGAAACACAAGATGAAGACAGTGAGAGCATGGTCTATGAGAGAGAACAATGACACTTAATGTGCTGGAGCATGTGTAGAGTGGTTTGCTGTGCAAAGTCTAGAACAGGCCCTTACTTCTGCCCCACACAGTGTTTAGGTTGTTTTCTATCCACAGTGCTTATTATCCCTAAAGAAAAACAAAGGTAACTTACCACTTTTCTGCACTCTGGGTAACTTTGGTTCCTAAGGTTAAAAAATCCTGTCTCTGCCCACTTGCACCTTTCCAACACCAGAAAAAATGAAGAAATCAGGAGTTGGTGAAAGTAAATTAATTTTCTAATTTTGAAGATAGATTTATGGAGAGGAGAAAAAGAAGTAATAAATTGCAAGACAAAACGATCCATTCTTTATCTTGTCTCTAGTTGTTCAACTAATCTCAAGGTGTTTTGGATGTAAGTGAAGATTTATGACTTCAAAAATCTCTTAATATGCTTTTAGCACTGTCAGAAAAGTGTGTCTAAATGTTCAGATAATGAAAAAACACTGAAATATGAGCTTTTTCTTACCGAAATATATCACGATGGTTTTTGATGTTCCAATCATATTCTCCTTTACTGACAAGTTCAAAGAATTCAGTTCTCCTCCTGCAGGAAAATCAGATGAAGAAAAAAAGAAATAACCTGAAATGAAATTTCTGTCTGTGGGGTGACAGATACATTTATGGGGGACATATAAGACCACCTGAACCAACTGACTTAATATTTGAAATCGTAAGGCTAAATAAAGCACTATTAAGTCACTTAAAAAAAAAGAATGCTGAGGCTTCAAGAGATATCCACATCACTTCTGAATATATTTACAGTGGAGGATATTACAGAACCATAAAATGGAAGACAATGTGAAACTGCCTTCAGGATTATGTGCTGACACTCTGTGACACTGTAAGTCAGAGGAGGGAGGCAAGGACAAATAAAAGAGCGGACAGTTGCAGAATGTTCTTTTATCATCCAACATAGAATTGAGCTGCATCATGACCCGAGGAAAGGTAGGCTCCCTAGTAGTAAATTCAGGATAAAAAATACTTGCTTTCCAGGTTGGAAAGCAACTATCTCACCACTTCAGTGCTTAAACACATCGGCTATGGAGACAGAAAGTAACTCTCAACAGTGACTCAGTTTCCTACACGCCGTGCAACTTTGGAAGGTTGCTTAAGCTATCTGAAATTCACTTTCTTCAAGTCTAATGTGAAGATCATATTTGCTAACCTAGGGTTAAATGTGAGGATTAAATGAGATGATAAAAGTGAAACCTTTAGCCCAGAGTCTGATACTTTAAGTGTTTGATGAATCTAAACACGCACCAAACACACACACACACACACACACACACACACACACACACACACACACACACACACACACACACACACACACCATCTACTAATTTGGAGATATATAAAAGAGAAAGATGGAACACCTGAAAGTTGTAAAAAGAAGGTGATGTGCTCACAGAGGAAGGTGCTTAGCTTGGAGGCTCATGGAAAGCTTTCTGGAGGAGCTTCTAGTCACCATCCTCATCATTTTAGGCACCTGGATGGGCCACTTCAACCTATGAGTTATTTCAAGAAATTACCAGACTCCAAGCTCCATGAAGACAAGGGCCTGGCCCATTTCTGTTCACTCCTTCTAGCTCAGTGCTTGCAACAGTACCTGAAGCTCAATAAATATTTGTTAAATTGATGAATAAATTAAAATGATTACTTCAAAAAGTAATTTTTCAGCCACTGATTTCAATTAGGTTCTAGGGGCTTCACAGTTAGAGAAACTGGGATTCTAAAACAATGTGAGATCTATTCAAGAAAAATGCTGTCAGATTCCTTCAGACTAGAACCCACTGGACAACATAACAACTTACATAAAGTAAGAACACAATTTCCATCCAATATCTCACTCACTCTCCACTAAATATCTTTCTATCTGCAGACAGAAAGGGAAAAAACATTTTTGAGAGATATATTACCTAGGTGGTTAACTTATTGGGGAAAAATCCCTTTTTAAGAAATATAAATCTTTGACATGCAAACTGAATACCATCATGAAAATAAATTCCCTAGTGATGAAATATTAATAGGTAGAGTTTCTGGTATGGAATTCTTAAATAAACTGAATGCATGTTTGGTCTTTGGTTTCATATGACACTAACAAAACCAGATTTCTTCACACTGGGAAGAGAACATTCATTACCCCAAGAAGATGGTAGATAGAAGAGAAATGAGAGGAATCTCTTCATAAGGTGTATAAAAATCTGTAATACTAGTTAACAGTCAATACGTTCTATTTATTCTGTCATTTCAAGGTCTGACTAAGGCTCCAGAAGTAATTCTGTCAAGTTAAACTTGGGACATCAAGGTCTGAGGGTTGTTTGGCTTGATGGTAGAGTACTTGATAATATGCACATGGACCTGGGTTTAGGCCCTGGATTAAATCCCCCAAGCCACAATAGGAACTGTGAGAAATCTAGTATTGGTAGAACCGTATATACTGTATACCTGGTAATCTGTTTCCTCCCATCATAAGATGACCACATTCTCTGTTTGGTACTAAGCATCTTCACATATATCTTTATCATTTTTCTAGGTAAGTGATACACCTAGCATTGTTCTGCTTTTTTTTTTATTTTTATTTTTGGTCCAGTCGTGGTGCCTGAACTCTGGGCCTGTGCGCTGTCCCTCAGCTCTTCATCTCAAAGCTAGCGCTCTACCACTTGAGCCACAGTGCATCTTTCTGGCTTTTTTCTTTTTGCTTATGTGGTGCTGAGGAATCGAACCCAGGGCCTCATGCATGCAAGGCAAGCACTCTACCACCAAGCCACCTTCCCAGCCCTGTTCTGCATATTTTAAAACTTCATAGAATAATATCATATTGAATGTATTCTTTGGCGTTTCAAAAAAATGATTATAAGATTGATCTGTATTGGTATGTATACTCTAGACCACTCTTTCTCACAGATGCATGACGTTGCATGTATGATGATGCCACTGGTTATATACTCATTTTCTGATGATGACATTTTAGATTGTTTTCATTTTTAAAATTTTGTATTCTTTATATTGTTTCTATGAACAACCTCGTACGCTTCTCCTTGTAAATTTGTGTGTGAGTATTATGTGTGTGTGTGTATATATATATATATATATATATGAGTACAAGTAAAATTTCTGAGTCATATGTTTGAGTTTTCATTATAGTTGTAGACTATGAGTGTTGTCTATAACTTCTGAATGAATTTTATAGATGGGGAAACTCAAGGTAAAGGAAGGTAAAATGATTCTCCCTGAGAAGTTGTGGGCAGATCTAGGTAGATTCTAATTCCCCAGTCTCCATTTCTGGCCCTTGGGATAATCTTGGTAAACTTTAGGTAGCACACATCTTTGAGGCCAGATAGGCCTTCATGTTGAGAGTTGATGCCATGTCCCAGCTGACCATCTTCATGAGACAGAATAACATCATGGGCAGCTGTGCCCCGCCAGAGGCAGTACCAACTAAGGTAGACCTAGACAGTGATCTCTCCACTAAAGGATGTTGAAAGAGGGGCCCAGCCCAAGTTGATGGTCCACTGTGCAGGTAGTGTACTTCAGATTTCCTCATTCTCAACAATAATTACAAAACAACAAGAAATTTCACTGTGCTTTTTGGAATGAGTTTATACATAGAGTTTGTCCTTTTAGCATGTGTGTGTGTGTGTGTGTGTGTGTGTGTGTGTGTGTGTGTAAATGACATGAAACTGTTTGAAATAGAAGTACTTTTAGGAACACGGGACTCTTAAAAGGAATATTTGAAAATCCACAAAATTATATAATACTCCCCAGATCCAGACTCTTTTTGTCATGAGGAACTATGTCATTAACTTCTCAAGTAGATCATTGGGAACCTTGGATTTCAAGGACAATGGCAAGTACCTCAGCTAGTGAAAAGCAACTTACTGGAAAATCTCATTTATAATCAGATATGTTTTTATTAGGCTTTTATTCTGCTCTGCTGACATATGTTCCACTCAGAAAAATGGCAGTCTTTTAAAAAGCATCATTTCAACAGAACTGTTAAAATTACCCTCAAAAATAATTCCAAAGATTGGTTACATTCACTCACCGCTACATTGAAGATCTTTCTGGTTTGTGATTTATCTGCGAGGCACCTTTTGATTGTAAAATGAGAAATCACCATTCCTGTGTATATTTTAATCAGGGAGTGTGTGTGTATGTTTGTGTGTGTGTGTGTGTGTGAATTTAAATGTGTATATCTTATACATGTTATCTATTCATCTGATGATTTGACCCTCCTTAGCCCATGGACATTTGGAAGCTTTCCTGTGCAAGTGAGAAGCCATCCTGCATAGCCCCTGCATTCTCAGCTCCAGACTTACCAGGCAGAGGTTGCCGGAAGCTTATCTGTGTGGGCAGGGAGGGCAGGTGCAGGAGGAATCCTGTTCCCTTGGTGTTCTTTCAGTTTATTCATAGGTAAATCATACATGTGTAATTAGTTGCTAAAGGCATATTCTGGAAGGTTTATGGGCTTTGGGCACCAAAGCTTTGGAAAGGGGAATAAAAAGTACTATGCAGATGTCAACTCCTGTCATTCATTTTTTTAAGGTAGAGTCTTTCTGTGTAGTCCAGGCTGGCCTCAAATTGGTGATCCTCTTGCCTCTGCCTCTCAAAGGGTGGGATTACAGCACATCCAGCATGAAGTTAATTTCAAAGTAAATGTCCTCCTTGTTCTAGATTAGCATTGATAACACAAGAAACTAGCTAAGCCCATGAGTGAAATGACCTTTTCCATGCTTTGTTTTGTTGATAGTTATAAATGAAGGAAGCAGAAAACCTTAACTTACTCTAAATGTAGAACATGGCAGATTGGAGGTTATAATATTCCTGTCCAACCACAATCAAAGTAGTTGTGAAAACTGAGATCTAGGCAGAGCTGGTTCCAGCTGCTCTGTGCAGTGACTCTGGCCGTAGCATTCCACCTGTGATAGTCTGCTTTCTTCCTTCCCCTGTGGGATCTATGTGCCTGTAGTCCTATGTTTAAGAATTGCTCATTTTCTATTTAGTTGTAATATCATGTGGATGAGTTTTAAAATGTGTGTGTTAGACAGGAACCAGTGGCTCATGCTTGTAATCTTAGCTATTTAGGAAACAGACTTCTAAGGATCTCATTTTGAGGCCAGTCCAGGCAGGAAGTCCAATCAGACTCTTATCTCCAGTTAACCAGCAAAAAGCCAGAAGTGGAAGTATGGTTCAAGTGATAAGAGTACTAGCCTTGAGTGAAAAAAGCTAAGGGTTAATGATCAGGCTCAGGCCTTCGTTCAAGCCTTAGTAGCAGAACAAAGAAAAAAATGTGTCAGAAAAACTACCAAAATATTTAACCTATTAAAGGCCCATATAAAATGGGATCACACACATACAAATGTACTAAGTAAACACTCAGGAAATCTCAGCTAATTGTGGCAGCTGATTAGGCCATCTTTGCTGACTTACTTGCAGACAAATAGTACCAAACCTTTGTGACATCTCTTTGAAGTTGTAACGTTTGTGATTTTAGATGTCTCTCTCTGCCCATTCCAAGTGTCATCTTTTATGAAGCATATTTTATTAGGTTTCTGGCTGAATGATTTCTTTTTTATAAGGTATTTTAAATTATCAAAGCTCTTCCTGGTAGGTAATCTTTTCTGCCTTCCACAAGGACCTTAGCAGATGGGAAGGGTGAAATGCCTATCCTCGTATTTCTGACAAGGAAACCAAGGCAAGAGAGGTTAAGTAAGTGGGAGCCTCTCTTAGTCACGTGGCTAATCACTGACAGGGTATGTCTGATTCCTGCTTGAGCTGATAAAATTACTCTTTAATTATCAGGGACTGCAGGGACTAAGAAATAGGCACAGGAAATCAATTTCAGAAAATCATTCAACAGTAACCAAGTTTTCAGTGAGTTGGAAAACCAGACTAAATAATTAACCCCCCAGACTTGGGGTATGAAACCTAGACAATCATATCAAGGATTTGTTTGTTTTCCTTTAAATCTTGTAAATCCTGCCTTTATACACTGTGAGTGGCATAGAATCCCAAAGACACTTGAGCCATTAGAAATGGAAAGTTTCAAGATTGTTTCAAAAGAATCTCCACATTTCCATGGTTTTTTTTCCCCTCTCCTGGAGCACAGCAAGAATCCCTGTCCCTAGTAATGAGTCACAAATACTTCTCCAAAAGGCAGGGATCCACTCCCTGCCACTCTGGTCGTTTCCTCAACTCTATCATGACATTTGATTTGAGTAGTAGGAGCAGAAGAACCAGTGGGTAATCAGACTTCAGAGCCAGATGTAGGGACCACCTTACATGCCCTAGACCTCATTTTCTCCAAATCTTGAACTATACCACTAAAACCACAGATTCTACCCTGGAACCAGTCCTGCTGGGATTCAATGTGGAACTGGGAAGAGCTATAGAAATCGCTAGCCTTGAGCGCACAACCTGGAATTACATGGAAGTCAACACCCCTTAGAGTAAACTGGCTGACAAGGATGGATGCTAGTGGAAAGTTCTGAGACACAGACTTTCTCAGATGGTCCCATCATCACTGGTCAACGTGGCTAACCATGGAGATGACCAACAGGGAATGTATCCTTCCAGTGGCTTCCCTCTTTTCCATTTCACTGTCCCAGTCTCTGCCTCTGCTCCTCAGGCATTCTTGCTTTATTTCCCAAACTAAACTAACTATATTTATGCCACAATCTCCAATTGTGACTTAGAAAAGAATATATCAAACCCAGGTTCATGTTAATTTTAAGCTGATTAAAGTATAGCTGAGAAAGTCAGTATTGCCACAAACTGTATCCTCAATCAACGTATTCTTGATTCATTCCTTAGAAGGGAAAAATGGTGGTTGTAGGAAAGGCCCTCCTCACCCAAAGGATGTATGGTTTTAGTTTTGCCAATAATTAGTTACGTGACCAAAGCTACCCTATTTAACCAATGGAAACTCAGTACCTGATTTCTCAAAATAAAGGAGATGAATTAGATGGCATCATTTTTAAGATTCCTTCCAGCTCTGTGATTGTATGTGAAATAAAAGCATCTGGGTGACAGTGTGTAGAGTTACTTTCCCCTTCATTAACTTGAGGGATTGTTTTGGCTAAAAATATGGCAATACTTTAATGCAGCTTTAGACAGGCAAGTGAATCAGTCCCCTGAAGGTCTAGATTAGAGAATGAATAGCTATTCAGAACCTCAAAAAATAATACTGCTGGCAGAAAGAGAACAAGCCAGCTTCTATGAGAGTCAGCAAACATTAGCAGGGGCTGCAGCATTAAGATAAGAACAGAGTAATGAGAAACCGACTCGCCACCAACTTCCCTGTCTGCATCCCAGCGGTCACTCATCCCTAACAAGGTTTACTTGATAAATGGACTCCATGGGCTGAGATTTTTTTTCTCCCTTTAAGAGGTGGTTGAAAACTTGGTTTGGGAAAATGCTTCTACTTTGAAAAAAACCCACAAACACAAAATCCACCAGTGTCAGGGACAAGAAATAAAAACATTAAAGAATGCAGGCTTTCCAAAATCCCAGATCAAGGAGGATCAGTCCAGAAAAAAAGAAGGTCATGATAGTTAATGGAACATGAAAACCACAAAACATGTAAAATAAATACATCTATAAAGCAAGTGAGAGAGTTGATGTCATCCCTTATAAGATATTTGAGATAAGTATTATCTCCATTCTACACATGGAGAAAAGAGGCTCAGAAGGGAAGTAATTTAATGACATACAGCTAGTTAACAGTAGAGCTGGGATTCTTATCTTTTTAAGGATGTATGTTTATGTTAATTAAAATTTATACTTATCAAAATACTACATGGACATACTAACAAACCTAACAACAGCACTAAAAAGACATATAATGAAGTGTAGCTATTTTCCACCTTTCTGCTTTTTGTTCTTTGCATTTCCCAATGCTCTCATGTTGTGTTTCTAATTGTGATTATTTCTCATAAGTGGTGTGTACTCATATTTGCTAAGCAGCCACTCACCACTTCTCTAGGATTATTTTTAAGGCATTCTATTATTGCCTCTTGTAGGATAATACATAGACAGACCTGGTTGAAGTAGATAAAGCCTGTAAAGGAGAAATGAAATACAAGAATATATGGGGGCAGATTATGGATGACTCTGAAAATCGAACCAAACTTAAAGCTTTCTTACGAGACAATGAAGGAAATAAGTGATGGAAATAAGAGATGCAAGCCTACAATGACAAGAGCTTGAAGTGAAGTATTTCTGAGTATTTCCTATATACAGCTAATTGTAATGCAGGTCAAGATAATATAGAAGTCAGTCATGAGATACAAGAAGAGAGAAGAAAGTGGGTTCAAATCGCAGGGAAGGATGACAGAGAAAAACAATGAATGGAATGTTGGGGAGGCAAAGAAATAAAACGTGACAATGAAAAGTCTGCAACCTTTTTACCTGTCACATGAAGATAGAAAAGTATCAAATCATTTGTGATCATTGACAGTACAATTTTGATAGATTGTGCAGATGCACTGTGCTCTTTGAGTGTCACAAATATAGAAGTAATGTACACTATTTATTTAAAAATAGTAAAATAAAAGCAAGTTGAGAAACAAAAATCTGCTTTGGATCAAGTGAGATAATTGAAAATTTGGTCTTTAAGGTAAGAGAGAATGAAGCGTATCACTGGAAGAAGATGGTTCCAGGCTGTCAAAAGAGGAATTATCTGATTGAGTCAGTCCTCACAGGGAATGAGAAAGATGTGATTTTCTGCCCAGAGAAAGGCCTGAGCTGTGGAAAAAAGGGAAGACAGCTCTTCTAAGAAAGAAAAAAGAGGAGAAACCAAGAACTTGACTTTCTGGTCAGCCTTCCATCAATTAAGATGTTTATAATCATGGTCATCAACATCATTATCATCAATGTTCTTAAAGATTGGTTCAGAAATAAGAGCCTAAAATAGCAGGGATAGGCAGTTTTCAAAATAAAATTATAAAATTATCATCCTTTCATTTCTGACTCAAGAGTTCCATATAAGGCTCATTAAAAAAATAGAAATCTTGCCATGGTAACCATGGATCTTTTGGCTTATACATACTAACTTAATGAACTTCATTTAGTTAGAGAAGAAGCATTAAAAATATAGCCCTTTTTATACATTGATATCAATGATAAAAGAACAGGCAGCCCACAACATGGACCTAAAAATTAACTATAAGCTGAAACTTCAGATATCCATTTGTCAAATAGATCAAATGCCAATACCTACTCAAAGTACAGAGTGAGGTCTGTTGCTAATATTGACTGCTTCAAAAGCTGCATAAGGTCACTGTATTCCTTGGAGGACAAATTAGCAAAGATGTTATGACCCTGTAATGAGAAAGTAAAAAGTCACCAAACACATCATTAAGTCTCTGGGTTTTGTTTACATGTTTTTCCTATATTAAAAAATATCTGGGAACATAATAAAATCATTTTTAAAGCTTAATAAAAAATTAAAATACAAACATTCCCTGGCAAGTACTGCAAGGTCAGGAAGTGAATCATTTTTGAGGAGGTCCATGGAGGCATCCTTGATCACGTGTTCAGTGTGGAAGGGAAAACCTTTGGAAACATTTGAATTTTTCATATTAGGGAAATGTTTGTGTCAATAACTCCACTTCACTACTAATTTCCTAGGGAAGTACATGAAAGAGTCTCAGGCAAAACATTTGGGAACTGTTTGACCCTACCATGAATATTCCACTACTAGAAATGCTTGCTGTGACAATAAGATACACTGATGAGGTAAAAAGGCGAATAGACCAATGGTTCTTAGTGATTATAAGGAGTTTTTGTGCTCTCTGTCTCGTCTCTCTGACTTTGTCTCTGTCTCTGTCTCTGTCTCTGTCTCTCTCTCTCTCTCTCTCTCTCTATATATATGTATTTTTTTTTTGTCAGTTGTAGGGCCTGAGCTCTGGGCCTGGGCACTGTCCCTCAGCTCTTCAGCTCAAGGCTAGCACTCTACCACTTGAGTCACAGCGCCTTTCTGGCTTTTTCAGCTTAGGTGGTGCTGAGGAATCAAACCCAGGGCCTCATGCATGCAAGGCAAGCACTCTACTGCTGAGCCACCTTCCCAGCCCTGTCTAGAGATATTTTTTGATGGTCACAACATGTTGTGATCTGCTGACATTTAAAGAGAGAAGCCATGTATGCCCAGGAATCCTACAATGCCCATGAAACTTTGTACAACAAAGATCTACTTGGCCTAACATGACAGGACTGCTGAAGGAAAGAAAGCTTGCATATACTACTAAAATGCACTTTAAGGAAGGCCATGCTGGATTAAATTCAGTACAAGCAAATGATTACTGAACAGCTTTGCTTTTCGTGCAACTGGACTTTAGAGGTAACGTTTATCTAAGAAAAGTTGCAATTACAGCTTTATCACCATACTTTGGAAAAGCTTTCTTGCTTTCATCAAAGTTTGTTAAAGCAACACTCTAGTCAAGTGAAAATTCCTTTGTAATGTGACCAAAATGCTACTTAATTTATTAGTAAAACCAGGACTCATCATGCTTTGTGTTTTTAACTGGGGAACTTTTCAGGTTTTCTTAGCATGAAATATGAACTCATAAGCTTGTGGTCTGGGAACTGGACCAATTTTAACCAGAACTGAGAGCCAGAAGATGGTAGAGAAAGGGCAAATGACTGAGAATAAACTATTCTCCAATGAGAGGTAAATTAATCCTTTCAGGGACCAAGACTATCAATTAGTAAATTACTTCTTACTAGGCATCAGATGATAATCTGCTCCCTTGAGTTAATTTATCTTATTGGGTGAACCCCCACTCTTTAAAGACTAGAGTATATTGGTTCTACCTGGGACCAAATCCAATATTAATAATAATTTTCAAATGAACTCTTCTAGACCCTTATTCACCCAGTAAGAGAAAGACAAATAACTAAGGGAGTGCTGTGCCATAATTCTGCCTTGATTTTTTTCTGCCTGGGTGAGCATCAATCCATGGATCAGCCATAAGCAGATATTCCAGAGCCTGGGAAAAGTGTCTGAAGGGTATGGAAAAATAATCACCTGATCCAACCATACACCCAGTATCACCTATTGAAAGAAATATAGCATTGAGGCTTAAGTTAAAAGCATTTGGGCAAAGGAAAAACTAATGTGAACTTGAGAATTCTGATTATTTTACAAAGATGTGAAGTGTATGTGTGTGTGTGTGTGTGTGTGTGTGTGTGTGTGTGCGTTGGTTCTGGGGCTTAAATTTAGGGTCTTAAACTCTCATTCAGCTTACTTGCTCCTGACTGGTGCTCTACTAATTGCACCATACCTCCAATGTAATGGTTTGCTGGTTAATTAGAGATGGAATCTCATGGACTTTTTTTTTTTGTCCTGGCTGTCTTTGAACTGGGATTCTTCAGATCTCAGCTTCATGAGTAGCTGGGATTACAGGTGTACAAAGGTGTGCATTTTGCTACCTTGACAAGAAATAAAGCAACTAAAACCATTTCCAGATAATACAATAACAAAACTCAAAGCTCATTAGATCTGCTTTACTTTTTTTTTTTTTGTCAGTAGTGGGGCCTGAACTCTGGGCCCTGGGCCTGGGCGATGTCCCTCAACTAGCGCTCTACTACTTGAGCCATAGCATCACTTCCAGCTTTTTCTGTTTATGTGGTGCTGAGGATTCGAACCCAGGGCTTCATGCACACAAGGCAAGCACTCTACCACTAAGCCACCTTCCCAGCCCCAGCTTTGCTTTTGAAAAGGATTAATTTACATAATTTATATTAAAATTGGCTTTATACAGTTTCTCAAGGTTTAGTCACTGAAGTAGAGTTGAGATGCCTGGAAATTCTGCTTTTTATCTTTTGTTCAGTGATATGGTATGTGTGGAGTTGATGAAAAGGAAAAAGAGAATGCGGAGGGAGAAAGGTCTTCAGTGACCTCCCTTTAGCCATCTACCTTCTCTGCATCTATGAGTCATTTGAAAGGGGATGGGAGATAACACCTGCCTTTCTGCCTTTCTGATGGACAGGTCAGCAGGGATCAGGGAGAAATGCCCACAGAGTGTTGAACGTGACAGATGAACAGTGCCTGGTTCCATTATTACTGTTCAGTGTTCCTCAGAAGAACCCCGTGTGAAGGGCAGCCAATGTGTTATATTTATATGAACACAAATTCTGTGGGTTGTTTTCTCCGGGAGACTTGGCATCCTGTTTAAAATCCCTGGCTTTCTGGGGTCAGAGTGGAAAGTCATCTCATTTTCCTTTACAGAGGAAACAGTATGAACAAAAATGCCTCCCATGGCTCCCTTCCTTTTCCTCAGCGTTCTGCTACAACATGGCATTCATAGGAACATTACACAGTCACAGATGTGAGGATGCCAGCCAGTTCCTGAGCACCTATCCCTGGTGCTTCATTCCCAGTGGAGAATACATCACTCTGGCATGGGCACATGTGCCCTGCTCCAGTTGCATTCAGGAGAGCAGTGACTCTCCTTTATGGGGTCGAAGGTTTTTGTGATAGTGCACAAGACAAGCTTTTGCAAGATAGGCTGGAGGAAAAAAAAACCCTCCATATTTAATGATGCTATTCCAGCGAAGCAGGACCTTAATGATGATAATAATAATAATTAATGGCACAGCTAGAGAACTGACAAATAATGGGGAACAGATGATCCCTTCTTGCCCTCACAAAAATGAGTCTGTACGCCTGCAGAAAATTAAACAGATCTTTCCCTGGCAAGTTAAAACTCAGATGCCTCAGCCAGAGTCAGCTCATGGTTTCTGTTTTTCTCTGTGGAAAGCACAATGTATAAAAATTCCAACTACTTCTAACTCCTGCCTTGCCACAGGAAGCAAAATAAGGCATATGGCATTAGCCCTGGGCCTTAGGTTTAGTTGCAATTCCCACTTTTAAACTGATCTTACCAGCAATTTTAATTTCCTTTATCTTTTATAGATTTCTTGATTATGCTATTAAAGTACTACTTTGCTTGCCCAGTTTTTGCTTATAGTGTGTGTGTGTGTGTGTGTGTGTGTGTGTGTGTGTGTGTGTGTGTGTGTGCGCATGCGTGCACTGTTGTTGGGGCTTGAACTTGGGGCCTGGGTGCTGTCATTGAGCTCTTTTGCTTAAGGCTGGTGCTCTACTTCTGTGTATTTTGAATGTCTAATTGGAATCTCATGAACTTTCCTGTCTGGGCTAGCTTCCAACTTCAATTCTCAGATCTTATCTTCCTGCTAGGATTGCAGGTGTGAGCTACTAGCACCTACTCTACCTCTACCATCTTTTAAATGGCTTTTGCTTTTACAAAATGGGATTGTTAGGCTACTCAGTACTTGGATCAACTCATTCCCTTCGTGGGCTTCTACATCCAGTAAGGAAGGCAAGATGGTTTGCAGTTAGGCAGCTGTACCTGTTACTTATAAGTGACTATATAAAGCTTAAGAGTGAAACTAAAAGCATCAGCTCAGGAAGAACCTGGACAAGATCCTTGATCAGGCAAGTCAAAGAATCAAGTGAGTCACCAAAGTCCAAAAGATTGACTTAAACACTGGTTCCCCATGACTCTGTGGAGACTATGAGGAAAGAGAGGTAAGAATCCTAAGTCTGCTCTTCTGTTACTGGGAGAAGTGGAGCAAGTCATACCTCACTTTGAAGGATCATCACAGCATGGTTGAAATGGTGATGCTCTAAGGTAGCCGAGGTCCCATAGAGCTGGGCCAGCGCAGAGCCACTCCTGGAAGAGGACAGAAGGTGAGGTGACCATTGCCCACACCTGTTCTTTGGATTAAGCTGCTTTTCCTGCTTTTGGAGACCACCACACCAAGTACATTCTCAGGTGACTGCTTGTCTAGTTCATTCATCTCATAAGCAAATATTTCAAAAACTTTCTATATGTAAAGCTGGATGCTGTATGATTAATAAGACACAGTCACTGCCTTTCATAAAACTAGCAAGAGAGACATGATCAGAAGAAAGGATAATGCATGCAACAATACCACAAATACAAATGTATTATAGAATAGCATTTTGGGTCCAACTTAGGTGCTGTGAGGAGACACAACATCAAGCTCTGGGAACAGTGTAGGCCTCAGGAAATTTTGAGTGCCCCCAGCAGCAGTCCTACATCAAATATGCTTGATTGTCCATAGGACAAGACCTTGGGAATGTTCTAACACTGTCAACAAGTGAAGCTGACAACCTTCTGTGGTCTCTGTTATCTCCAAGATACCAATGTGAGTTTCTTGGATTTGGATTCACCCTAGCCATTCCTCTGTTGGTAGTTCTGGACACTAACTTGGCCTATTTAAGCCTCAGTTTCTTAACCTCTAATATTATGACCCTATCATCTATTCATTTGTTGTTCATGAGACCACAATAAAATATTTGAAAGTGCTTGTCACAGTGCCTGACATGGAGTAGAATATAGTCTATTTTAATTACAAATAAGCTATATATATGCATTTATATACATGTATGTGGATATTTCCATTTTAAATCAATAAAGTTTTAATACTTGAAGGGATTATTTTGAGTTATATGTACATTTCACTTTTATAGAACAACCTACCCAACAATAACATCAGTAAAATGATCAAAAACATTCATTTTTACGACTATCTTTTTGGAATAGTAGTTGAGCATCTTAGGAGTCAAGAGGCAGCAAACTGAGGAGAAGTGTATTAAAAAGAAAAGTGAGTGTAAAAAAATTATCTTCAGGTATGTCCTTCTTTGGACAGACACCAAACCTCAGAGCGTAAATCAAATTGTCCCTCCACAACTTCCCTATATGCATACATGTATATTCTTTGAGAAAAAGACTTAATGGCAGTTGGTGCAGGTATGGCTTTGAAAAGGAAACTTTGAAAAGGAAAACTATGAAAGGTAATTAGGAAATTGAGAATTGTGGGGAGTTGGTGAAGAATGGGATTAGGCTGTCATGGCAGATTAATGTGCCCCAGTATTTCACTTCTGGGACCTGGCTGAAAGCGACAAGATGGGTTTTTTCCCCCCAAGAAATGAGTATAAGAGATTATGCTAGAAATGAATAGAAGAAGTCTCCTAGGAGAATATACTACAAAGCTGCTCGGTACTGATATTTAATCATCAGGGGCAGCTGTAATAGAGAGGGGGATGAGAGGGGAATGCTGTCCCTGGAGAAAACAGGGGAGAGGTGTGGACAGCAATTTCAGAGTGCCGTGGTACTGCTGCCTTCTCTACCCATTGATCATTCATTGCACGTACTCTAATACTTAAAAATTAGGAATAAAATATGAAAATGAAAAGGTTCACTTATCAGAAAGGCTAAGAGTATAAATCAAATTGTGCTCTAACTAAAGTCATACTTTTTTATTATAGAGGCATTTTGCATTTTATATAGCAATTTGTCCCTTGCTAAATGTCTCCTGTTTTTTAATAGCCTTATATATGAAAAAAGGTAGCATATGCTTTGCTACATAATAATTGGAGCATTTAAATTCCATTTCCAAATCTCTGGAAAGGCTGTGAAGAGTTCAAGAGAAGAGAATTAGACTCTGATCACTTTAAGAGAAGAGACTGTTTACTGTATTTTCTTATTTCTTCCACCATACTTAACACAAGGATGGGACGTAGAAATCACTGGGAATAAAAAAGGATAACACATACAGCTTTCTTCCTAGGGATTATTTAAACTCTAGTAAACCCAATGGATAAATGTTATTCTGATCAATAAAAAGTTCCTACATCAGGATATAAGAAACATATACTGTCAAAGGTAATCTTAAGTGAGATTTGGTGGTCAGAAGTGACTCCCTTAGGTTGGGCTGGTGGACAGAGCTGATAGCAAGTTAGGCATCTCAAAGTATATCCTACCATCTTGAAACAGGCGGATTTGATCATATGACATGCCAAGAAAAAAGAATTCTAGTATTTGTGACTTAATATTTAATTTGCATGAATATCATTCATTTTGGAATCACAGTTTCCAGTTTTGTAAAATTAAAGCATTTTGAAATATGACAAGGTTTAGTTCAGTTCTATAATTTTTATGACTCTATGCCTTGAGTTTCTGACTGTCAAAATATATTTTAGTTTTGCAGAACTCACGTATCTGGCAAGACGGCCAGTAAGCTGTAAGCTCAAAGGCCCAAAATAGAAGTCATAGTGTCATGGAAGAAAACAATGCAGTGGTTTAGGAATGGCTTTCAGAATAGTCTTGGGTCCAAATCTGCTCTGCAGCATTCTGAGTAGATGAATTGGGGCATGTAACTTACCTTCCTGAGGCTTCTGTAATAATGGAGAGCAAAGTATCTACAAACATATTGGGAAGGGCTTGAGACATAGTAAACAACAAATAAATTATAATTCTCATTGTTTATGGACTTCTAGTTGCATAAAACCAAAAATAAAGTACAAGATTAACAAAAAAATTGTTTAAATGATTCCAGGTACTCTGAGGAAACTCAAGTGTCTTAAGTTTGACTGAGTCTCCTAAGCAATAGGAACAGTAATGGAAAAAGCCAGGGACTGGTTGTTTTTTTTTTTTTTTGGTCTCTCTTTTAGTTGAACAGCCTTTCTTTGTGGCTTCTCTCTGAAAATCAACTTCCTTCTTTTCTCCTTTCTGCAGAATTATCTTCTTATTCCTTCCAACCCCTTGGGATATTCTGTTTATAGCTGTCTCCAAAATGGCAGCCTCAGCTCACAAGTCTACGTAGACCTGTAGCTTAGATCCCTATTCAGGATCATGGTAACAAACTTCAAAATTCTAGGGGGATAACATCCAATTGGATTAACTTTGATTGGGTATATACTCTTGATTTGAACCACTGAGAGCTCAGCCAGCAAGAAGCACGGCCACTTTCAGTGTGTTGCAATAGGCTGTCTTGCTGAGGAGAGGTCATGGATATCAGAGCACATTTTTTGTGACTTTCAAAGAACACTCAAGGCTCTTACTCTCAGTTTACAGGCAGAATTTGACACATTTATCTCTTCTTTATTTATAAGTGGTAGAAGGGTAGGGGGCTGAAAAGAGGGCACAAAAAGGAGATATACTAATACTAGATTTCTGGTGGGGCCATTCACTGGGATACCATTGGCTTGGGAGAGAGAAAAATCCTTTAAAAAATAGTGAAGGGCTGGGAAGTTTGCTCAGTGGTAGAGTGCTTGCCTTTGCATGCATGAGTCCCTGGGTTCAATTCCTCAGCACCACATAAGAAGAAAAAGCTGGAAGTGGCACTGTGGCTCAAGTGGTGAGCACTAGCCTTGAGCTGAAGAGCTGAGGGACAGTGCCCAGGCCCAGAGTTTCAGGCCCCATGACCAACAAAAAAGAAAAAAAAATAGTGAAACACATAAGAACTTAAACCAAGCAGCTATTAAATCCTTTAATGAAAGTGTGGGTAGTTTACTTTGGTGAGTTCTAGGTGTTTGCTACACATAGTAGAAAACCTGTGTTTATCAAAGCTATGCTTTATCATAGTCTATGAAAGAGCGTATGCTTTTCTTAAAGCAATAAACTATTGAAAAGTTATATTTGAATAAGATAAAATCCTACAATTCATCATTTATCAAAAATTAATCATATGCTTATTGAAAAGGCAGTACCAGGGCATTATACGGGCATAAAAGTTATCAAAGAGAGATCCTCAGGGATTTAAACCCCAAATTGATACTTTTGGAGCACTTCTGATGACCAAAGGAAAAGAATGGCATTGAAGGTAAAAGAAATAGCATATCCGGTATCAAAGAGATGTCAGTTAGTAGGACCCCCGTTGATACCTTTCAGATGTCTTATGTCTGGAAAATGGCTGCTTGGGTGGAGTAGGCTGGAGGCTGAGTGGGTGCTGGGCCAGAGAAACAATGCTTGATAAGAAATGCACTCATTACCTTGCTCATGTAACTGTAACCCCTCTGCACAGTATTTTCACAATAAAAAACTTATTAAAAATAAAACAAAAAAATCAAACAAACAAACAACAATAACAACAAAAGAATCCCCTTAAAGGGATAAGCTAAGGAGTGTGAACATTATCCTAAAAGTCACAGAAGGCTAATGGGTGGCTTTTAAGATGAGGAATAACCTGATCACTTCTGTGCATCAGAATAGCCTAGCATTCAAAGCCACTGGGGGGAAAGCCAGGATGTTTTTCATAATAATCTAAGATAGCTGCAAAAGAAGCAGCAGTTTCTGCAAGAAGACAAAGGAGGGAGACACTTTAAGGAGTTCCAAGAAGGAAGTCTGAGTGACTTATGACTTGTAGATTTCTGGTAGTGCTGTTCATTGAGATACAGAGTAAGAGAGAGAGAGGACCATGCATAGTGGGAAGATTGAGAGTGAGCTGACTGGAACTTCAAGTAGGAGGTACCTCTCAAACAGCTGAAAGGAATGCCTGGAGATAAGCTGTGGGTGATGGTTCGGTTATGGACTTGAGATCCACACAAAGGCTGATGGTACATGAAAACAAAAGAGAAATGAGAGGAAGCATCCAGCAGTGAAAGCCAGGCAGGAGGAGATGCCTTGGAGCACACCAGGAAGAATAATATAATGATAGATGAAAATCCTTTGTGTGTGAGATAGAGAGTTTCAGGAAGGAGACACTAATGGTCAAGAAAGGGCAGCTTTGGGCAAAGGGGAATCACTGCTTTCTCTGGTGAGATGAAACTGGAAGCCCTCAGACAGGAGTACAATTAGAGGCAGTGAAGACAATGGAGACAGATGTCTTTCCAATAAGTCTGACTGAGAAGGAAAGAATAGAGCAGTAGCTACAGAGGGAAGTGGTGATTAAAGTGGGTTTTTTTTAAATGGGGACAAGAGACAATTGTTCATATATGCAGGAGAAAACGGCTGAGAGATATGAGGAAGGATGAAGGAGGTGGAGGGTTCCAGATAAGAGAGAAGAAAGGGATCCAAAGCAGAGGTAGAGGGATTTGCCTCCCTAAGATAGGAGGCAGAGATGAGGATGGATAGAAAAGTTTGTAGAGGTCAGGGGAGGAAATTGCGGGAATTCTCTTCGATGGCCTCTGTTTTCTCTGTGAAGCAAGAGGCCAGGTGGTCTGCTGAGTGTTGGGAAGAGCATGCTTGCCGTATAACACTACTAATAACGAGGGGGCCAGAGCTGGCAAGGGACACAGGAAGATTGGTAGGGAACAGCACACCCAGCCAAGTTCGGAGAGTATATATCTGAACGGTCTCAAACTCTCACAACTGTCACATTTTCTCCTAAATGTTCTAAGTCTAGGCAGAATAGACGCTAGAGCTGAGGTGTACAGAAAGGATGTCATAGAAATGAAAGGGTCAAGAAATTGTAGAAGAGAAGGTAGAAGTCGTGGGCCACAGGTTGCAGGGGGATAAAGACCTCAAAATTAATTTGCTCTTGGTAGATCAGGAACAAATGCAAGAGCCCAGGACTCCAAGCCTCATTGGAAGGTTTAGGGAGATTATTCGTGTTTCAGTTAACATAGGTTGGTGACCTGGAGGTTCTGATTTCAGTCATAGGAAAGTTAATCTCACTTCCCTATAGAAGCTTCCCCTAGCTCCTCTTCACCCCAAATTGTTTCTCTCAGTCCTCTGATCTCCTGTATCATTTTATTTGCAGATAAATAGTACAAAGAACATTTAAAGCCCTTAGCTGAGATCTCTATCACCTCTTAAGTTCTGTAGCCTTGGCCATTGTATAGACCACCACTATACAGTAGCTATCCTGACCAGTAGTTTGCTTAGGGACAGGTTACTCTATCCTTGCACACTATGCACAGGACAAATAGTTGCCTACACATGTCTGTATTTATGCAGTGCCTTTGTCTTCATGTAAATAGGCACGAGAAGAGCAAAGACTATTCTATTGTATGTGGCTTTACTTTGTTACAGTTTATATAATAACCACCATCAAAGAAATCCTTGGAGCAATTTTGTTGGAAATAGAGGAATATTTTGCTTCATAAAATTTCCTAAGACCCTTTTCATTTAATAGTCTCAGAACTAGACTTGGGAGTAGCAGGTCTTTGTCACACCATGTAGGCAAATATTCTGAGAGGGAAAATGTAGGCCCCTTAAGACTGGAGCTTCTTAACTGACTGAGGTCAACAGAGACAGACCAAATCAACAAGCATGACATGAAGGGCAAATTTGCAATTAAAAGAAGAATGGGGAATTATAAAGATGGATGGGCCCCATGACGTGCACGCCCAAGTCTGCGTGGCCTTGGCCTCAAATGCCAGAAATTAATGCTTTACTCTTTAGCAATCGTCACCTTTGGCTCTGAGCAGAAAGGCAAATGCATTAAAATAACAACAAACAGAAGACTTACTTAGCTTGGAAGGCATTGTTGGTTCCCCTGTGGTCAAGGTCATGACACAGGCATCCCACAATCACGGCTAAAATTTCCACCTCAGTCAGGATCTCTTGAAACCCAGCCGTCTGGGAAGAAGGAGAAAATGGCAACAGTCACTACTGGGAGCAGGGAGGATGGATAAGGTTAGCAGGCTGTGTTGTTTTCATACCCACATCATTTGAGGAAATGATTAACTGCCACCTTCTTAGATGACAGTAAGTTGAGTGGTCAGTTGCACAGCCTATGGTCCCCACAGTGATAAATTAGTTTGCTGTCACGATGGCCCATGCTACCACACCAGCATGATGTTCCTCTTTGGAGAATGGACTTTACTATCTAGATAACAGAGATAGCTTGGTAAAGGCCCAAAGCAGAGTATGCTTTGCTGTTGTACATTTTGATGGTGAGCTTCTGGTTTGATGGTAGGGTGATAAAAAGGCAAATTTCAAACTGACACTGCCCCTACCAGATGCCACTCAAATGAGTGGTATTAAAAGGAACAACTTGGAAGAATGAAAACTGGTTCATGTTCTCATTCTAGACGTTATCTTGCAACACATTAATTCATGTTACATTGTGAGCTGATTAAATTCATACAGGTAGTAAGGTGGAAACTAGAGTTTAGCAGGCATTAGGCAACCCAGATTGAGGAGTGAGGGAAGTACACATTGTTAATTTTTTTCCCTAACTGGTAGTTTTGTTTGTGAAATACATAGCTGTGATGTAATTTCTTCTAGAAACACTTTGATATAATTATGGGACCAGGAGAAGCAATGATTCTTGGTTCCTGCTGATCCTTTCATTAGTTTAAAAGAGGAAGTGCACCTCTGGGAAAGCTAGTCTATGAATTTTCTTGATCCAAGGCTTTTATCTTCCCCCTCTCCTTTTACTGTGAAAGTCTCCCATTTCATTACTTATTAAAATCTTTATCAGAGGACAGGAGAAGGGGAATGAAGACTTAAATTCTTTTACTTTAGTGTGTTTCTCCTCCCAAATCTATGATCCTTGGGTAGTTTATCCATAAGACTCTTCTAGTAGAGCAATGAAAACGTTGTTTCATAATTAGTTATGTCACCATTGCAGAAACAATTGAGTAGTGGAGTACTGTGTTGATAATTTTTTTTTTTAAAAACGGAGTAACCTGCTCTGGTAGACGTTGAAATTCATCTAACTTCATTTATGTAGCAAATGAAAATGTTAACAAATTATCTGGAGTGTGAAATGGTCCATACTAAAGTTTGTATGTGCCCCTAATATAAAATTTGGTATTGATTGCTGCGTTTTCTGTTTTGCTTATTTTACTTAAAGTATTTTAAAAAATCCCATCATACTTAGAGACTTAGAGTCAAATACCAGTAATGCTTCGTCCTTTCCCTTTTCTGATTCCCTAAAGACAGCCACTTAAAAAATATATGTAGTTAGTTAGGTTTCTACCACATTTCTTTATGGTATGGGCAAGTTTTAGCACTAGGTTATTCACCAGATACTTGGTCTTTACTGTGTACCTTGACCTTTGAGCTTTCAAATTGAACAATTCTTTTAACAGTACTATGTGCTTAAGTGCTATAATTATCCTCTTTTAGATTAGGAAACTGAAGTCCCAGAGAAACTATGTTCTGTGTCCCATACCTAATACCTAGGAAAGGACATTCCCAGTGTGCCTCCTTGAGAATCTATTATAAAAAAGTGATGATGTCCAGTGGCAGGTAAAGGCAAAGCCCCCCCAGCCAGTTCTCATACTCTCAGTATAATCCATACTCACACTTGCTTGATAATCACTCTATAAATATTACTCACTGATGAACTAATTAGCATACAGTGATTGTTTCCTACTTAGGTTATGTAAAGATTTGCATTTCCTGGTGTTAGAATTTCTTTGAAACATCTAATACTTTTACATCCTGCATCACTTCGTTAAAGGAGTGCTAAACAATTGTGAGAATCAAGTGTCACACGTTTTATTTGACCCTTTGTGTCCTGGTGATGCAACTTTCCCTCACCATTATTTAGCGATTTGCTCTTTCCTCTCCTTGCCTGATATCCTGTCCTGCAACCCAAGTCTTTCTCTTTCCTTGATTTTTCCCTTGCTTTGCAAGATCATTAACAAAAATATTCACTTTTTATTAAGTTTTAACCCTGAGTGAGCTCATTGTTTTTGGAGCTTTATGTGACTGAAGAAAATCTTTATTCTTTCTTATATTCAATTGCTAGTTTATCTGCCGCTGCATCCTACTTTTGTGGTGTCGCCCGTGCCTTGGCAGGGTGCTCTTTTCATGTGTGCTCAGCCTTGAGCCCTGAGGCACGTGGTAGAGACCTTGTTCTTCTTTACTAAGTTAGGAGCCAATCTTCCCTCTATTTTCTGCCTTCATAGGTTATGGGTCCAAGAAAGGGGAGGGGGGATTTTATATCCATTTCTGTTCTTCCTGTTATTTGGTGATTTTTTGAAGGGAACAGGAGGTATAAGTATCATCTTAAAATTGTAAATTAGCTTTGTGGGGGGGGAGGCGTTTGGTCTTGCTAATGCAAAGTAAATCTTGAAAGTCTATCAAGCAAACAATAATTATTATCATATAAAAGTAAATATTTTAAACAGTGGAATTCTACTGAAATACAGAGTTGTTTTTTTTTTTTTTTTTTGCCTGTGAAAATCCTGTCAACTAGGATGAATGAGAACAGTGGGAATAGAGATAATGTTAAGATATAGTAATTTGACTAGAAATTTATGAATATGTTAAAATCAAATTTCTTCTAAGAGATTCAAGATCAATATAACAAATCATGTAAAGCCATAAGTTAGCACCCATGATATAATAGGGTGAATCATATTTTGCTGAAGTTTTCTATAGTTATCTTTTGTTCTCTTGAAATCTAGCAACTGGCTCTAAAATGATTTGTATCATGGCTACTTTGGAGAATTTGGTGAAAGCTATGGACTTTCTAGAAAATTTCCTATAATTTTGTAGCATTCAAAGACCATGGGGCCTAGCCCATCTCTGAATCCTCAGAAGAATCCCCGAAATACATACACACAGTTGCACAAAATGTATTTACCTCTCCAGACTGTGATACCTGAGTTACTGAAGCAGCACCTATCTCTTGACTGTGATTTAAAGCTGCCTCGTAAATGGTTTCTGAGACTCATCAGGCCTGAAAAGTGTCCACCTGCCACTAAGTGTCCATTTGCCCCTCCCCCACTCTCATCCATCTTTCTTCTGGCCCTGTCCAAGCAGACCTAAATTTATCCACACTGAGCAGAAAAAGTCAGCTGCCTGCTGCTGATAATATACCTTCAAAAGGAAACAGAGAGGTAGGAGAAAGTGTATTTCAATGCATTTGCCCTACTCCTGACTCGAATTCTTATTTTATTTTTAAATAAAATATGACTTTTTTTGCTCTTCACCCAATAATTATGAATTTATTGATCTTTATGGTAATATATCTTTTCTCCTATATTTCCTCAGAGTATGTATCAAAAATTGAAGCAATGACTATGATTTGCCTAAGTAAAGAGGAAGTCAAGGCATGTAGACCTCATTTCCAAGACTCCCTCGTCAGAGATTGTTCTAGGCCATCATATTCTGAATGACCTCTAGACAGTTTCAACTGGGAGGTCTTGTAAACTGTGGTCAGAGAGAGACAGAGAGAGAAAGCATTCATACCAGAAACATCTAACTTCTGGTTTAATTTCTGGGACACAGAATGTTGTGGGTTTACTGTCTACAGCTTTTGTTTGATACATGATCAAAATCAAATTTACTATGGCTTAGAAGTACTCTTTGATGATTTTGTGCTAAATATTATCATTTCTTCAAGTAAATGCCTCAAATTGCAATGCTGATGGCTGGTTTTACTGTGGAAACAGCAGTGCTGAAGGGCAAATTGATACTACTCCACAACACAACCTCCCTTGTTGTTGTTTAAATAATTTTATTTCATTTTTAAAAATTGTCTTTTGATTATCTTTAAGTAGCTGTACAAAGGTGTTAACATTCAACTGTCATTTTGTCAGTATAATGCATTTTGATTGATATCTTCTCTTTCATCTTTCTCTCCCATCCCTCCCAACCCAATCTCTCACTTCCATTTACTTTGTTTCATAGGATGTTCATTAAGTATTATGACCAAATTCTCTCCCAACTTCTTCCTCTTCTTTTAAGATCCCATCTTTGCTAGCTATAGAAAGTACATGAGAAAAGGACAGGAGAGGAGAGTAGGAATCAAGAATAATCCTTTCTGGGTGGAAAACCCCACAGGACAAACTACACCATCACTGATCAATGGTTGGACTCCCTTGTGTTTAGAGTGATGTTTGCCTGAGGACATTTAAAGCTGCTGAACTGAAAAGGAGGCACTTCAGTCTCCTATTGAGGTCCAAAGGCCAGAAACTTCAGAGGATCACCATCTAGCACCAACCTATTGCATATCTCTTTTACCAGAGCATGAAGCATAATACCAATCATTTGTGCTTTGTTTAATTTTCTGTGGGAATGGGATCTTTTTGATTTAATTTGCTTCTGTTTCTTCTCAAGATGAATGTAACCAAATAGTGATTTGAAATTAATTAAAGTCTATAGTGATCCTTTCTTTACCAAGCTCACAGGTGGGAAAACATTATATCTTCATCTAAATGACTTTCTTTTACAACTCGAAGCTTCTGAAAGCACTTACTATCAAATTCTACAACCTGGCATGTTTGGAGTATATATGATTGCTAGTCTCAAATTATCTTGCAAATGTTTATCTACGTAATTCTCAGAAAGGTGAGTCAACAAGACTCAGTAGTCTGTCTGGTACAATTATGAGTTGAGTATTTGTCTCATGCACAAATGAGATACTGACTTTATACAATTATATTTAGTTATTTTAGCCTCATCCAATAATTAATTTCTAACCTACTTGTTTCCAGACTCAAAAACCTTTTGTAGAAAGGTAAAAATATACAAATATATAGATGACTGTATAGTGAACGCCATGTTATCCTTTTCCTAACGTGGCTAGGAATCCATGTATTGCCAGTCGTTGCATCGTTCCTTTATTTGCAGTGTCTTGTTCACGTATCTGTTTGTTTTGTTTGCTAGAATATTTC